TACGTGAGAAAAACACCTTGTGCTCTAATGCATATCCCCAAAGAATTCCTTATGCTCCTCAGCATAGTGCATCGCAGCGTCCTATTTTATAGCTATTCATTTATTCAGTAAAAATTATTAAGCACCTGTTATACGCCAAACTTACGCTGAGCACTAGGATTTGACACCAGAAAAGACAATCACAGTCTTTCAGTCTAGTCAAAAATACCGACACTCTATTGAACAAGTAATTATGACAAAGTGTGATGAGTTTGTTCATAGGACACTAGCAATGATCCCTACTCAGGAATCAACTAGAGCCTCCCTGAGGGGGTGATGGTCTACTGATTTGATGAGGGGGAAGGAGCAAGGCCCTGGGAGGGGTGGGAGGTGGAGGGAGCATGGGGAAGGGCTTCCGGCAGCCCAGGTGGATGGCTCTGCATGGACAAAGCTGGGAAGGAAAGACAAGGCAGTGCATGTTCGAGGAGCGGAAAGAAGCTCAGAAATGCTGGTTGTCATCAGGAGCTGGAGCTGGGGAGAGGGCAGAGGCTGGACCTTGGAAGACCCCAAAAGCCATATATGCTAAGGAACAACAGACATGATCCTAGGAGAAGCAGAGAGCCATCAGGGGGGGCTTCAAGCAAGAGAGCAACACAATCAGATGCACATTAAAAAAAATTACTCTTGTACCCTGAAACAATACACCAAAGCTAGCGTATTTCAGTCATTTCGAATGATACTGAGAACAGCTCTTTGCCATAATAAAAGATGGCACTGAGAACAACTTAAAAACCCATTTAAAATGATTTTAATGAACCTGCAATAACAGCACCCTTCAGTGATGCTGGAATACCATCCTTTGCTATGGCCCTGTTTTTTCTCACCTGCATTCTATTTAACCACACACGTGAATCAGAAGCACTGAGAAGAGACATGCGTGTCTTCTTTTTTTTTTTTTTTTTGGTGAGGAAGATCAGCCCTGTGCTAACATCTGCCAATTCTCCTCTTTTTTTCCTGAGGAAGACTGGCCCTGGGCTAACATCCGTGCCCATTTTCCTCCACTTTATATGGGATGCCGCCACAGCATGGCCTGACAAGCGGTGCGTCGGTGCGTGCCCAGGATCCGAACCATCGAACCCCGGGCCACTGCAGCGGAGCGCGCGCACTTAACCGCTTGAGCCACCGGGCCAGCCCCCACGCGTGTCTTTTAATATCCCGCAGGGCACGTGGCACTCTGCACACACTCCCCTCGGGCCTCTGGGAAGGTGCAGGGGATGGGAAATGTGACATCCTCGGGTGGGGGTGGGGGCTCTAAAGCCAGCATCCGCTCTGTGATAGGCATAGGTGCAGGTTGAATCAAATGAGTGGGTGGTGTGTCCATTACTATTATTACCTCTAATTCAGTCTAAGAAGATCAAGGGCAGTGCCTCTTTTCCTTGAAGCTGGAGGCAGAACATCTTGAAGGATATAGCCCAGCCCAGTTACTGTACTTTGAAAGTCACTGTTAAACCCAGGCAAGCGAATTCAAGCATTGGCTGGTTGGAAACCACGTCAAATGCAGAACAGTTGAAGTATCCTGCTGATCATCACTAATCTCTGTGATCTTTTTATATTCTCCATGATAAGAACAGCTAACTTTTCCCCCAGAGCACCCTCTCTGAGCCAGGCACTGGCTAGGCCTTTCATATTCATTATCGCTTAGCAGGGATATTCAAAATATTTCATCAGTTAGAATGGACTCTGGTTATAAATAACCAGTACTAAAGGGAACTGGCTAAATGTCAACCTGTCTTTGAGTAATTGCTAGCCCGGAGGTTACAAACTGATGGTCCACGGCCACATGTGGCTCACGGATGTGTTTTGTTTGGCCTGAACTGTGTTTAATTTTTAAAACTTTGTGGTCGATATATCAAAAAATAGTGAGATTTCATATAAAAGTCCTGATGTGTATGGAGCAATGCGGAGCCTGCAGCCCTACAGGGCAAACCTGGCTAGCCCAGCGCCCGGCTCATAGAAGGCGCTTGGAAAAAGGTAGCCGTTCTTACCGTGGATAATAAAAAAAGATTACAATAATTAGTAATGATTGATAGGATCCTCCAACTGGTCAGCTGGAGATGAACAGCCCCTGAGCCTTCTAGATAGCTCGTCAGCTCTCCAGCCTGCCTCTGTCCCCACCATTCCCTCTTCTCTCATTTACATTATCTGCCTGGCCTCTTGGGCATCTGAGTCTATGACCTGTGCCTGGAAGCCACCACCCCTTGCCCAGACGGGGTGAGAACCAGGGTCTTCCTCTTAAAGAGATTTTTCTCCTTGCCACATTCCTCTGGCCTCTGCCTCGCCTCGCTGCCTGAGCTTTTAACAATGAACTCCACAACAGGGATTCTCAACCTGCAGCGTGCATCAGATTCACCTGGAGGGCCCCACCCTCAGGCACTGAGGGTGCTCCCAGGTGATACTGATGTTGCTGGTCTGAGGACCACACTTTGAAAACCATTGCTCTTGGGCCAGCCCGGTGGCGCAAGTGGTTAAGTGCGCGCGCTCCGCTGCAGCGGCCCGGGGTTCACCGGTTCGGATGCCGGGCATGCACCGACGCACCGCTTGTCAAGCCATGCTGTGGCGGCGTCCCATATAAAGTGGAGGAAGATGGACATGGATGTTAGCCCAGGGCCAGTCTTCCTCAGCAGAAAAAGAGGAGGATTGGCACATGTTAGCTCAGGGCCAATCTTCCTCACAAAAAAGAAAGAAAGAAAGAAAATCATTGCTCTACAACTAAAGAATGAACCCTAATTGTCACTGGGTTCAACACTGGTGGGGATGGGAGCATTTGCATCCTTCCTCTGGCAAGGGAGGAGTGGGAGGGTCCACATTTTCAGAACTCATGAATAGCCCCACGAAACCCAAATGAGTTGTGTGTCCCACCTCCGAGATCCCAGTTTCCTGAGTGGAGAACCAGTTCTTATCTTCCAGATTGCATTTGGATCCCTATCCAAATGGTTCAGTAAAAGTGATGATACTGCTTGTGACGTGCAGGGCCCCTCCCCAACCCCAAGTGTACACATGGACATTATCTCACAAAATAGCATCAGCAGGACTCGACACTGTTCCGCCCCTCAAAGACCCTGCACCTGAGACATTAATCAACGTGTGACACTGCTAACAAAAATAATTTCAACTCTCCTAGAGTGCCAACTATGTGCCAGGCATGTACTGAGTGCTTTATGCATCATAAAGATCCTCTGATGGAGAAACCATCATCATCGATATATTACAGATGATGAAACAGAGGAGCAGAGAGGGGAACCGACTCATCCAAGTTCCCCAGCTCCAGAATAATCAAGAGATTGTTTATTGGACCCACTGTATACACTGAGGGTCAGACACTATTGGGAATACTGTGCTCAATCTTGTGTCTGTATTTTAAGATGGATGTTGACTACCTGGGGAGCAAAAGGCACCTGGGGGTGATGTCATATGGAACATGCTTGCATATGTGTGTGGGGGGGTGTTTAGCCTGGAAATCACAGGATTCAGGAGTCAAGACCAGCATCTGCAAATGTCTGGAGGACGCTCTACAGAGAAAGAGGCTCTGTTGACAGGACAGGACCCAGTGGCCACAACTCTGGGGAGGCTGATCTGATATCAATATAAGAGTATGCCCCAATTAGAAGGGCCATAAAGTAGAACTGGCTGCCTCTAAAGGACCTGGCTTCCTAACACCAGGAAGTGTCCAGAGAGAAACAGGACTCATCAGGGATGCTGTACAGCTGTGATTCTAATCACTTGGGATGGAGGGAAAGTGTAGCACTGGGGAGATGTGAGAATCCTCTGGGGGGCTTTCTTAAACTACATGCCCTTTGCCCACGGGCATTCCGGTTTGCCTCTAATAGAGTCAGACTGTCTCGCTTCATCACACACTAGCGCAGTGACCTTGCACAGAGCACTTAATCTCTCTGCGCCTCCATTTCCTCTTCTATTACATGGAATAGCAGCACCTGTTGTGAGGATTTAATTAGATGCTACACGTGAAGTGCTTAATATGGTGCCTGGCACATAATAAGTGGCCAAGAAATTAATAATAATATCAAAATAACTACCATCATTATCATCGTTATCTTCATCTTAACATCAGAGACCCTTACAACTTCAGGATTCAACAACAATGTTTATGTTCACTTTTCAGCCTCAGTCGGCAGTTTTACAACCCATAATAAAGTCACAAGGTCTCTGCTCTACTTAAGCTAACAAAGAAACATCCTCCCAGCAGAATCGCAGTTCTGATTATTTAGGAGCAAAGTTCTCCTCCCCGGTGCTGACGAGTACTCCCTGCCGAGTCCTGGGGGATGGAAAACCCTCCCGTGTGCACACGACTGGGGGAAATGTGAGACTTTTATTCTTATACTATAAAAGTTATAGTACTAGCTATATATATAGTACTAGCTAGTATATACTAGCAAAGCCGTATCCACACCCAGAGCCTCCAGGAGGTCTATGAGCACGTCAGCTTCTCCTTCATTCAGCTGTGCCTTGGGTGGGAGCTGGCTGGTGGTGCTGTCTTATTGACTGACTCAGATGTAGTGTATGTTTCAGAATTAAATACTGTTGAAATAAACAACATGACCTTTTCAATGTCAGTATGAAGAGACAATGACACAGTTGAACCAAGGAAAGAACGGGGGCAAAATTAGATTCTTTATCACGGTCCAAAAATGGATCTGAACTCTGCTCACCAAAGAACCGTTCCCAAAAAGTTGCCAGCTAAGACAGTTACAATAATTGACTCAATAAAACAAAAACTCAATATTCAATCGTCTTTCCCGCATTTACAGAGGCCCAGCTGTGTGAATGGAAATCTCCATTTTTGTACCCCGTGACTTTGTGCATAAATGTGAGCACTCACAGATATACTCAAGCAGAGGCATTGATGTCCACCCCTCAGAGAGCACTGAGGGCACACACGATCGGAGAGGCAAAGAGCGTGTTATGTGTGTACACCCAACAGTCAGAGAAACCAGTGCACTTACTGCTTTTGGCTTATACGGGGGCTGAATCTCTTTGCGTTCAAGTTTCTCCCAATCAATATACCGGAAAAATGCATGCTCTTTGATGTCACGTTCGCCTTCAGGGCCACAACCCAGACGTTTGCCCGGGTGTTTGGTCATCAGCTTCAAGAGAAAGAGAAACGTAGAATTTAATGAACTTCAGAAGAGGAAATGTGAGACATTTGGAAATGGTCACTCCAATGAATTAGGGAAGAAAGCACAATGAAGAGTCCCAATTAACTTTTAATTTTTGCTTTTCAGGCCAGCAATAATTTCCTAGCCAGGGCTTTATAAAAGGAGGACCTGACAATAGTGCCTGCTGCTTCTTGTCCCAGAGCAAATCCCTCATGGTGAATCAAACCTAGGCCTGAACGTGGCCTTGAACTTCAAATTAGAAATGTCACAAGATGCATTTTGATTTAAGAATGAGTCTTATGCAATTACTGGTACATCTAATCAGAACAGTTTCAATATCTTCAAATTCCCCTCCTCCCACCATGAGGAAACTAGAGTTTGACCAAGGCAAAGGCCACATTCATTCAGATAATATTTGCATTTCTCAGTAAAGTGCTTGTGAAAATGACAAAACAGAAGAAAAAATATTAGTGAAATGGACCCAAGTTTCAAGTAATTACTTTCCGAAAGCTCATTAAATAGTCAAAACCTAGGCCAGCTCATTTCTCTTGTATCACACATTACACTCAACTCCACTGAGGTTTCTTTGGTGTTCCATTTAAATTACTTAATTATCAAAACCCTCCATCTTTGGGTCTCTGAGCCAGTGCTAAAGAACAAGATGAATAGATGCTCCAAGATGAAACCAGACAGGCTTCCTCTTGTAAATGAATCCAAAGCAGCATGAAAATATCTCTGATCTCAAGACTTCAGCAAATGCACAGAGAGGAAAGACGGAGGAGTTGATGATTTAACAAGATATACCGACAACAGGGCATCAAAAGAGGAAACAAAAGTGATGGGAACATACAAGTCCAAGAAGTTCCCAGGGTTGACTTGACACCAAGTAGCCATGACGTCAGAATCCTTAGATTTCTGCCCAGGATTTACAAATTATGGGGAAAGCACGAACCCAGCAACTCACACCTACTCTGTTGGACATTCAGCTTAGCCTGATTCCCACTTACAAGGTAATTTGTCATCAGAATCTACCTCCCTCACACACACACATACACAAGCACATACTTTCCATACATGCTTTATCTCCCAGGGCAAAAATAATTGGGCACTTAGGTTCTAAGCTATTTTATTTACATGCACGATCTTATCTGATTCTCACAATAACCCAATGAGTTGGGTATATTATTTTTGCCACTGGAATGACAAGGTAATTGACACTGAGAGAAGTTAAGCAACGAGCAAGGACACACAGAGATAGTAAGTGGCGGAGCTGGGATTGGATCCCAAACTCCAAAACTGGGACTTTTAAGAGAAATGGGAGAGCTCTTCACATGTGGTTTCCCCAGAGGTATTTGTGGCTTGGGTTGGTCAGGAAAGATTTCTGGAGGGCAAGCAAATTGAGCTAAGCCTTGACATTTGTGTAGGATTAGGATGGAGGAAAGAAAGGGCTATGAGGTCTTGGCTACTAATAACATCACTAAAGGCTTCCGTGCACACAGCGCTTCCTATGTGCCCAGGCTCCATGCCAAAGGCTCTGCAGCCATCATCCCTGACTCTTCCACCTTCACAACAACCCTTGGAGGCCTCAGCAACTATTATCCTCATTTTCCAGATAAAGAAACTGGGTCTGCAGAAGGAGTCATTTGTCCAAAGTCACAAAGCTACGTAGCAGAGCCATGCTTTGAACAGATCTGCCTAATCCGGAGTTCCTACGACTCTGTCCTGCGTTGCTTTCACACTGATGTGTGGCCGATTGGGGCTTTTGTCTGCTTTAAGTTTGCTCAAAGTGGGAGTGGCAATTTCAGCAACGTTATACTAATTTTTTTATGGTAGGAAATAGGGTCTTCAGTGGGATGGAGATATAAAAGACATTTTCAATTGGAATGGGACTGTTTTCAAAAGCCCAGCTCAATTTCCGTGTAAGCAGAAGGAAAGCCAAGCGAAGAAAAGCCACTGCAGAAATACCCAGCACTAACGTGAGTCTGCCCAGTCCCTCACTCTGTGCTGATGCGCCTGAAGCCATGCAGACAGCTGGATTTAATCACTGTTCCGATCTCTGATCACATCCCAGACGCATCCCCTGGGGCCCACTGTTCAGGAGGAAGCATGTGGCTGTGCGCTTGAATGTCACCCTTCTTTGGAGCATCAACCTTGAAGAAAGAGCCCACACTGGACTCAGCCCACTCAACTCCGAAAGGTCCCCAAACCCAATAGTAAGAAAGTCACCTCAGTTAATCCTGAAGGTCATGGGTCCTAAAAAATAGACATCTACTCCACCAGGGAAACTGCTAATTGGAGCTGAAGCTGAATGCAGCTGACCTGGAAAATTCTCTCTCCTCCATGACCCACTTAGAACCCCAGCTGTCTAGGCCGGGCAGAGTTGTGAAGGGGAGAATCCCAAACACGTATTGAGCACCTACCGTGTGTCAACACCACGCAAGGAGCTTTCGCTTATGTTACCTCTTTCAGTGTTCTCAAAAACTCTGTTCAATGAGTATTATGATTACATTTTTAGAGATAGAGAAACAGAAGCCTGGAGATGCAAACTTGCTCAAGACCATGCACCTAGAAAGTGGAAGGGTTGAGATGTGCAAAGGCTCTCTTGGTCTGGAAAATCCCTCACTCTTAAAATTCCTATCGCAGGGGATGCAAACCCAAATGCCAAGAGGAGCCTGGTGTGCAACACAGCAGCACCAGCATTAGTAATAGTAATAATAATAGCCTAAGGCTTTCCGAGCAGAGCACCAGGCTCTGTTCTCTAAGTAACTCACATGTACTAACTCAATTAATAACCAAAGAATCCTTATGTGTAGACATCATTATTATGCCCAATCTACAGATGAGGATTAGCAACCTCTACGAGGTCATAGGGCTAATAATGCCAGGACCAGGATTTCAACCTAGATGGGGATTTTTGCAAATTGGAGAGGGCATGCCCTGTCTAAAGGGGGGGCACTGGCTTCCAATCTAGCTGACTGATGCTTTGCAGGAATGACAGACCACATGGCAAGATCGGATTTTTCAAGAGAAACTGGAAAGTTGAATGCTTACGGGAAATCCCCGATCTTAAAATGTTGGTAATTATGAAACAAACCAAAACCTCAGTCCATGACCTTCTCCCTCCCCACTCCTTAAAATGTCTACAGGGGTCTGCACCGACCTGAGTCTGTGCCCTCATTTTCCCAAGGGCCTTGCCTAAGCTCCTAAGGAAACTCCGGGTCTCCACTTTCTGTTCCTCATTTTCCCTCTCCCTGCCTCGTACTCTCAAAGAAAATATTTTCAACCAATTCACTTTAAGATGTTAGGGATTGAGACTAATTCACGTGTGGTTCCCCAGGGATCTTTGCATCTTAACCTCTGCAGCTGAAACACAAAGCTCAGGTGACTCACTAAGAGTGGGAACTCAGGTGATGTGACAAGGTGCTTCTAGACTGAGAGGTTGGCCCAGCTATTACAAACTGCCTGAATTTTCCAGCTTTTCTTCATCCAAGCCAGCTCACGTGGCATCTGACGAAACAGGAAGAGCAGGGCTGGGTCGGGCAATGGGAAATCTGCAAATACCTCAAGGATCTAGGACCAGCCGCCCCGGTTTATTCAGACACACAGGTGGGCACCCACTGGGAGGGCACAGCCATGCTCTGACCTTGAGAAGGCACCTGCACCACTGACTGATGGGAGAGCGAATGCTGTATAAAGGCGGCGCCCCTGGGCCATACGCTCTGGGGGTCTCATAGTGATGCTTGCACACTTTCATCAGAGTTGAAAAGTTACCACATTCAGATAAGATGTTTAAAAGCAGTAGTTTTCAAGCCAGATAGAGATTTTTCAAATTACAGATGCCCAGACTCAGTCTCTGGAGTGAGGCTGAGGTACGTGCATTCTGACTTCAGGTCATCCTGATGGCACCAAGGGACTCACCCAGGTCACTGTGAGCATGTCCTGGCCTAACACAAGCTGCATAACAAGCCATCCGTACCCTCAACATGTGTCCTGCTTTCTCCACAGGTGCGACCTGCATACGCTGCATGTGTACAAAGGAGCATGCTTTTCGGCCGTCTGTGTGTTGGATGGGGGGAGACACAGAATTTGGGTCATCTTATCTAAAGAATCCCTTAAACTCAATATTGCTTGATATTTTCTTAGGACAGAAGTTACATGCTCTTAGTATTAACTACACACATATGCAGCAGAGCAGGGCAAGGCTGATTCCTGCTGCAGACCTCTCGTGCACCTTCCCGTGGGTTCCAGCTCTTTGGCAGTCTCTATGCTTCCTACCTCATTCATTCAATCAGCATTCCCCTGCGCTGGGCTAGAGGCTGGAGCCCAGCCAGCGGCAAGAGGCTGTTGCAGGCAGGCCTCTACGGTGCTTTTGTGCAAATCAGAAAAAAGCTCCCTTTCCTCTGGGAGGTAGCAGCTCCCTGCCAGGGCTCGCGGGTTGGCAAGTGGGGTGAGGGGCGGAGTTCTCCCTGTGTGGGGTGTCCTTGCCCAGGGCACAGCCCGCACCCCTGTAAGTGGCGGTTTGGGCTGCCAGCTTTAAGGTGCTCACTCACTCCTTTGCAGATGGCCACAGCTTCCTTGGACATGGACTTTGGATAAGCTACATTGTGCTCCATGATGGACTGGAAGAGTTCATCCTCATCCTCCCCTTCAAAGGGCGCCTGTGGACAGAAGAGAGGGTAAGAAGAATTCCTGCCTGAACCCCCCAACTGCCCCCCACTAGCAGGCCCTCCTCCCTGGGGTCCACAGCGAGCTCACACTCCAGTGCTTCCGGCGAGAAGATGAAAAATGATCAAGAAACTAGGGTAACCCCAAGGCCGTGGAAGTTAGAGAAGTTCATATCTATGAGCTGGTATCAAGTCGACACTTTCCTCTAAAGAAACCATATGGATGAGGGTGGGGGAGGACTTTTCTTACAAATCACTTAAAATTCAATTACCTGCCCGGCCAACATTTCATACAGCAACACTCCGAATGCCCACCAATCCACGGACTTCCCATAGGGCTGATAAGCAATTATCTGGAAAACAGAAGGCATTCCATCAGGGATGCGTGCAGGTTTTTGTCGTGGCTGGAGACTGAATATACACGCCTTTTACAACAAGATTGGAGCATTGCTGGGAGCGGAGGGTGGCGAGAGTCCTTCCTTTTCCTGCCACCTGCCTGTTGTGAAAGATTAAATTGGCTGTCACAGTCCCAGATGCCGGCCACTGCCTAAAAGAGTGAAGAGTGAGTCCGGCATCCACCCCGCTATTTCTTTATCTTCAGAAGATGGATAACCCTTACGGAGACACCTGCAGGCTGGGGAACATCTGGGGATGTCACATTGTCTTTCCGAAGCACTGAGCACAGTGTGTTATCTTTAATTTTAATACAGTGAGTGTGGCCTTTTTTTTTTTTTTTTTTTTTTTTTTGTGAGGAGATCAGCCCTGTGCTAACATCCATGCCAATCCTCCTCTTTTTGCTGAGGAAGACTGGCCCTGGGCTAACATCCGTGCCCATCTTCCTCCACTTTATATGGGACGCCGCCACAGCATGGCCTGACAAGCGGTGCATCGGTGCGCGCCCGGGATCTCAACCGGCGAACCCGGGGCCGCCGCAGCAGAGTGCATGCACTTAACCACTGTGCCACCGGGCCAGCCCGAGTGTGGTCTTTTTAAGAAGAAAAATTGTCTTTGTTCTCATTACAAAAGTAATAATATTTATATAACAATGTAAATATACTTAACACTACTGAACTGTACACTTAGAAATGGATAAGATGTAAATTTTATGTTTTGTGTTTTTTTACCACAATTAAAATTTTTTAAGTTAAAAAATGTAATAGCATGTATTACTATTTTACTATTTATTTTAAAAATATAGGTAAGCTAAGAGAATACAATTAAAATCACTCATAATCCTTTATCAAGAGAAAAATTATGATTGATATTTGCCTTATTTCCTTCTAGATTCTTTTCTATTAATACATATTAAACTCTATATGTGTGTGTTACATAAATCTAAAGACTTTAATAAGTGGAATTTTTTTTTTTAAACAATTTTTACTCCCACTGGCATTTTATTTATTTATTTATTTTGTGAGGAAGATCAGCCCTGTGCTAACATCTGCCAATCCTCCTCTTTTTTTGCTGAGGAAGACTGGCCCTGGGCTAACATCCGTGCCCATCTTCCTCCACTTTATATGGGACGACGCCACAGCATGGCTTGCCAAGCAGTGCGTCGGTGCGCGCCCGGGATCCGAACCAGCAAACCCCAGGCCGCCACAGCGGAGCACGCGCACTTATCCGCTTGCACCACCGGGCCGGCCCCAATAAATGGAATTTTAATAAAGTATTTTATTCACTTAAAATTTCCATGCTAATATTTGTACATTAACATAATCAGTTTTACTTCCGCTTAGCATTCCATTGAATGACTACACCAAAATCTATTTTATCAATTCCCAATTGATTAGGTTTCCTCTGATGCTACAATACATATCCTTGTAATTAGGTATTTGGACATTTGTCCAATTATTTCCTTAAGATAAATTCCCAGAAGCAGAACTGGTGGACCAAATGATATAATATAGTTTTCAGGTTTTTGGTACTTATTACCAAATTGCCAGAGCCTGGAGAAGTCTGGAATAGCTGCATGACCATTCATCTTCAGTATGTACAGGTATAAAACTAACTGTTTCAAAGGGGTTAAGAGGTGATATACCAAAGGTTAAGGGTCAAGGTTTGAGGGTCAAACAGTCTAGACTTTGAATCCTGACTGCTATTTCCTAGTTGTGTGACCTTGGGGGAAATGACTTCACTTCTTTAAGCCTCAGCTTCCTTATCTACAAACCAAAGTTTACAATGATATCTGTGTCATAGGGTCCTGAGAGGATGAAAGAGAAATATGTGCTTCTCACATATAATCCCCTCAAAATGTTAGCTATTACTGGAAAGTTCTCTAATTCAGTGATTGCTTGTTTTACTCCATAAATGTGTCTGAGCAAACCTGGCTATATATGAAGGTCTGTTTATTGAGTTCCATCTCCCACCTTGGCTTCCACTCTAAAACCAGAAATGCCCTCTGAGGAGAATTAACTGCCAGAGACCAAAGGGGAAGCTTTCTGTGAGAACACTTCTCATGGAAAGCGTTTTCACACTTTTCAAGTACTTCATGTCTTACCTGATCCTCATGACAACCTAACAAGTTAATCCTTTTACAAAGGAAAACAGCCTGGGGAAGTCAAAGAAGTTGCTGGAGGTGATGTGATCAGTTAATGGCAAAGCCAGGAAGGAAGCCTGACTCAGGTGATTCCTGCAGGCAGTGGGCGGAGGAAGACGCGACTTACCCAGCAACACAACTGGCTTCTCTGGCTTGCCGGCATCACAACCACCCAGCAACTTCTGGAAACCACAGACGCTGGGCCCCACCCTGCAGAGATTCCAATTCGATTGACCTAGGGTGACACCTGGGCATCTTACATGTTAAAAGCTCCCCAGGTGTGTGTCAAGTGCAGCAAGTTGTGAACCAGACAGATCAAGGAATTGTGCCTGATGTCCTAACTAATCAACAAAATGATAACAAACCAAGGTACACCACATAGGGAAAACTCCATTCGGCTCTAAGAAAACAAAATTTTTTAAGGATTACTCTTTAATTACTCAAGTAATACAAAAATACATTTACCTTGTGAAAAATTTATATACAGACTGATCTAAATTTCCCTTTACCATGTCCTTATCCTCAGAGGGAATCAATGTTATAAAATCAGTCTGTAATCTCCCAGATTTTCTATGCTTTTACATGCATACATACATACTCACAGGAAACATATAGCAATGTTCTGTGTATTGTTATTTTCCACAAATGGTAAATTGTATTTATCATTCTGTACCTTGATTTTTTCTCTTAATAGTATGTCTCGAAGATCTTTCTGTATCTACATATATATGTAACTCACTCTTTTGAATTGATGTCCAGTAGTATTCCATACTATAAGTAACTCAGTCTGTTGCCCCTTCCCCAATTGATGGACATTGTTCAAGTTTGTACATACAGATGTACTCTGACCTTTGTAAGGGCTGCGTAGTATTTCCTAATATGACTATAGCATATTTTAGCTAACCTTTCTTTTATTGATTATCACTGAAGTTGTCTCCTATTTTTCATTATTAAAAAATCATGCTGCCATGAAGAAAGGACTTTGAACACATATCCTTCCACCCGTGTGTGTGTGTGTGTGCGTGTGTGTGTTGCAAATCAGGTTCCTGCAGAAGGAACTGCTTTGGTAAAGGGGTATGCAGGTTTTAAATTTGTGCCAAGTTATTTAGTTTGGCCTCCCATCACCATTATTACATACCAAGTGACTGACAGTCAAGAAAAGCAGAATTCTAGAATGTGCATTTCCAAGACTCTGTGCCACGTTCTCAGTTCCTTTCCTAAAAAATCTAGTAACAGATTGCAGAATGCCACCTTTTTGAGCACCAATTCAGAGAAAAAGGAAAGATATCATCTGGCAGAAATTTTTGTACCATGACATGTTGGGGAAATCCATTCTGCAACTGACCGTTTCCTTCAGGAAGGGAGGGGTAGGCACTAGAATTAAATCTTTACCCTTTCATTTATAACTTAATCACAGGAAGAATTTCAGAGTTCAGCACAACTACTGCATACCTATTAGTACACAGGCCCTATGTCATATGTCAGCCCAGGGGATCAATCTCTCTCTTTCTTTCCCTCCTCTTAAACATTTCAATGTCATAGTCAGGAGGTATCATATGGCCATGAGCCATAGCAGCTTGACGACGAATTTTACTGATGTGTGGTGGATGGTTCTTTTGAGTTTTATTTAAATTTTTTCCCAAACCTTGATATATTTTGGGCCTGAGCTTCTGGATGTGTGCTAAGTTAATTTGCATGTGTGATCTCAAAGGAATGATTTAGAGTATAGGAGAAGGACCAGCCTGAGGTTTGTTTGCCAGGTACCCCCTAGACCCTTCCCAGCTCTGATGTGGCCATCAAGGGTACAGGGGAGACATCAACGCAACATAGATGTACGTTTGGGGTCCCATCAGCTCTCACCTCAGGGGCGATGTAGTCTGGAGTGCCGCAGAATGTCTTGGTTGTTGCCCCGTCCCAGATGTTTTCCTTACACATGCCAAAATCGGCGATCTTGATGTGGCCCTCTGAATCTAGCATCACGTTGTCAAGTTTTAGGTCACTGTGGCGGACATAAGAATTTAGGGATTTAATTAAATGCTATTTATTTCAAGTCAACCAACAGCCACTCATCCTGTGCAAAACACTGTGCTAGATATTGTAGGGGCACAGAGGCAAGTACAAAGCAGCCCTTGCCCTCCAACAGCTTATAATCTGGCAGGGAGATAAAGAAAGGTCCACAAACCTCCGTGTTTTTCTTTTTGTACAGAGCAACTGTGCTAAGAGTCTCACAAGGACACGATGAGACAGCAGCTCTGGGAAGAGAGAGATGTACGGAAAGCTGAATAAAGGGCAGAATGTCCACAGAGGCTTCTTGTATCCAGAAGCATATCAAGAGTTGACTTTTGCAACTTGAGGACCCCTTATATTTCATAGGAAGATGTATTTTTCACAAAATTTTTAATTTGTTAATATCTCTGAGGATCATGGAGAAAAAAACTGATTGAAAGAACATTATTTAATTCCAAGTGCTCCAAGCTCTCCTAGGCCAGTTCCTAGGACATGACCCAGGAGTTTCCATTGATTCTTTCAATCAAAAAATATTTATTGCACACCTACTATGTGACAGGCTCTATGCTTGGAGCTAGGTATATACTGTGAACGAGATGAACAAGCATCCTGCTCTTGTTCAGATTAAATTCCAGGATAGGGAAAAAGACAGTTAACAAGTATTCAGATCTGTAAGTGTGATTATTATAGATGCTGATGGATAGTATAAAGGAAATAAAGATGATGATGAGATAGACAGTAACTGGGGGAGGTCACCTTAAACAGGGTGTCCGGAAGGACCTCTCCAAGGAGGTGACATGTGAAATTTAACCTAAAGGATATGAGCTACACTCTCATTCTTTTATTTCACCTGTGTTGATGAGGAGAGCTCGATATTTTGGGGGACTCTCGCACATTCCCAGCATATCAGATCACTCTAGTATCAACACACTTTCCTCCTCCCTAAACACCTACTGAAGTCAAAACTTAGTGTTTCAGCACCAATGAGTAGGGATGATCTATGGGCCAGCCTTCCTCAATTCCCATAGAAGGTCAACTTCCTGAGAGGTAAGGGGATCTACTGTTCAATTCAGATCTTGACCTTAAATTGTCTTCACTGGTTGTGAACATTTGTGGTTTCTGCCAATTCTAGCATCTTGGGATGAGGGTATCTTAATATTCCTTTGAAGAACCATTCTTCCCTAATTCTCAAGCCATGTAAGATTGGTGGTATTAATCCTAGCTCCTGGCTCCAGGAGTAGTCATGTGGAAATACCGCATCCTGCTGGTCACAGTGATTGGTTCAGAAATGGCCATGTGACTCAATATGAGCTAATCAAAGTCATTGAGCATCAGTCTTGGCACTTTTGCTGGGACCATCAGGAAAGATATGAGTTCTTCTTACATTGGGATGGCTCAGGTGGCAGAATGTTAAGTCTAGAAGTGCTAGGGGCACCAGATGGAGAGAAGAAAACTAATAGATAAAGCAGAGCCTAGAGAGAGAGTGAAAAAGTGAATGCTCATAACATCATTTGAGCCCTTGGATCCATCCAGACCTAAGGTCACATCTGTCCCATGGACTTTTCAGTTACATCAGCCAAAAACTGCCTCTTAATTTAAGTTAGTTTGAAGTGAGTTGCTGTCATTGTTTTCAACTAAAAGAATACAACCTGAAAATATACCTTGGCATCTCCTATCCGTGTCTGTGGGGTCTCTTCATCCAAGGGGAGGCCCACTTGCATCCCTTGTTTGCCAACAATAACGTTCCACTCTCTTTGGCACTGTCCACGGTACTACCCATATGGCACCTTCATGATTATCTACAAGCCACGGTGGTCTCTGAATGCCAACTTGGAATAGAAAAACTGGACTTTGCAGCAACTTGCTTTACCTAAACATACCAGGTCTACATGTGATTTCATTAACAGAGACCCATGACATTCTCCTCAGCTTTACCACATGCCCCAAAACAGGCAGCTGGGGCAACTAGGGGTGTGATAAAACCTTCATCTGTCAAGGTATCAAGAGCCAGCAGGTCTTGGGGCTGGAGGACACCCCAGTCATATTCACTGTCACACAGCAGTGTTTTGATTGTCCACTGTATTCTTCTGTTAAATGTAATAAATCCTCATTTCTGCTTCAAAAGGGGGCCAGAGCAACTGTTTTCATTTTCAGAAATCCATGAAGAGCAAAATCAACACACAGTCCAGAGATGGCAATCAATATATCAGATGCTAAGTTTGGAGGGATCTTTTGTTCTCCCCCAACCCAACATCTCCAGCCACGGTCCTCAGAGCGGGCAGGTCTAACATGATTCCTCACCCCTTTTACTTAAGAACTGTCTAATTAACTGAGCTCTAAATAAAGGAGGGAGGGATTCATAACACTTTAAAAGACTTTACCACCATGAAGACAATCTCAATGAAATTATAAAACCACACATCTTCTGTTATGTAATTTTCTTTACAGTTTTCATTTGATTATCAACTTCAAAAACTCTGTCTCAATTGAAGTTCTTGATTGCGAGCAACAAAAACAAACTATTTCAACCTAAAAAGGAATTTTTGAAAGGGTATTGGGGAGCTCACGGAATCTCTAAGGAGGCTGGAGAACCAAATTTGGAGGCTACACAGCCAGGAATCATGCCTGAATGCAACACAGAGCTGGTCCAGAGAAGATGTCACTGATACCACCACTGGGCACAGACATCACCCTTTGTTTCATGAAGCCCTAATGCTGGACTCTGGACATTGTTGCTAAGAACTGCTTCCCCTCATGCCTCTGAAAACTAGATGTACCTGATCACCATGGCCACTCTCGATTCTATAGTCTCTGCTTTCTTGGTCACTAACTTCTGATTCAAAGTCTTGAGTGAGTGTGACAAGTGTCAGAGCCTGGGTTTTGTGCCTGCCCATGCTGCAGGGAGGTTGTGAAAGTATCTGGCATTTTCAATCTGTATAGTAGGAGATGGACTCTGTTCCTACATGCAGTGAAAGGGGTTCAGATACTGAGTGGCTTAAAAGAGTGATAAATATCCTCCCAAAAAACATATAAATAGTGGAGAAAGAATGGGAGAATGTGTGGTTAGGAGAAAGGGCTTTGGGAGTTAGGTATGGTCTTAGCACCTAAAATGCTAATCTTTGGATTTTAGGACCTGAATGGCCAGTGTTCTGGATCCATGGATTCCCAGATCCCAATCCAGTTCCCTACTAGATTGGAAACCTGGCCCTGAATCCCAACTGAGTTGACAAGAACTCTATTCTCTCTCCTGGTACCTCCCCTGGGACTGGATTTTCTTCCAATAAACTTGCGGTCTCGTGTTTAATCTTTTCAGCAATCCTTGAGTGGCTTGTTCTATTCTAGTGGAAGCCCAGCTTGAATAGGGGTTAGGTTCTAACATCAGCACATAAGGTGAAAATCATGTTGAGTGAACAATTACCCACGATCCCTGTTTCTTTGGTTAAGCACCAAGGGAAGTTATTGGCATGAATTTAGGGGTCATGTCATACAGTAGATAATGTGCACCTTTCAGCACCAGAACTACATTCTGCACAAGATGCTCCCACTATGACAGTCAAAGGGGCAAGTGAGGGAATTAGAGGCTTCACAGGTCCCATCTCACACTCACACTGTGATACATGTTCACTGAGGGCAAGCATGGGCAGAATGACCACACTATTTACAGTTTCAATTCTTCTTCTCTCTGTTTCTATTTCTTCACTGAGATCATCCATGTGCCAGGTAAAACCACTCCTCTTCCTGACCTTCACCCCTCCACTACCAGGAGTACAGGGAGAGTGGGGACTCTCTGTATTCAGGGTAAGATCGTCCCTCTCCCACTAGAGTCATTATCACTTTAAGGAGTAAAAAAAGCCCCAGGACTTTGCAGCTTTCTGGCAAGGTCCCCATCTTCCATCCCTCCATCCCACCAGCACCCATAGCCTCACCTCCCTATCTACCTTGAGACCACCAGGGCTAATCCCTTTACGCCGTTTAGCCCCATGTCTTTCAGTTGCAGCAAGAGGCCCAGGACTCTGAGGTCACCCTAACTCTCCAGATCCTAATCTTATGCTCTCTACAGAATGACAGGCAACCCGCCACCACCCAGCACCCACTAGCACTTTTCTCCACAGCACTTACCACTACTTGACAGACTATATCTTTGTTTTTTTGTGAGGAAGACCAGCCCTGAGCTAACATCCGATGCCAACCTTCCTCTTTTTGCTGAGGAAGATTGGCCCTGGGCTAACATCCGTGCCCATCTTCCTCTACTTTATATGGGACGCCACCACAGCATGGCCTGACAAGCGGTGCATCGGTGCACGCCCGGGATCCGGACCTTCAAACCCTGGGCCGCCCAAGCGGAGCGCACGCACTTAACCGCTGTGCCACCGGGCCGGCCCCAACAGACTATATCTTGATGATTTACGTATCTCTCCCCCACCACTAGAATAAGCTCTACAAAGGCAAGGGTTTTGTCTGTTTACTTCACTGCTCCGTCTCCACCACCTAGAAGAGTGCCTAGCACATAGCAGGCTTTTGATAAGTGTTTATCAAATGAATGAATGAAATGGACTTTACGGCTCTTCATGATCCCCATGTCCCTGCCAGCCTCTCTTGCATAACAACCCAGCCCAAGCTCGCACTGTCTACGCCATTTGCATCCAAGTGGTGGAAGGAGAATTGTACACCCCAGACTCACTGACAAATAGCAGCCTCGGGCTCAGTAGTCCGCCTTGCATGAAATATAAAATGGTATGAGTCACACAGCTATGATCATACACTTCCTCCTCCAAAAACAGCAAATGCCAAGTCCTGAACTTAATCCTGTCTTTCAGGGCAAGCTACTCAGAGATCCATTTCCAAGTTGTAGTTACACAGCAAAAAAAAAAAAAAAAACCTGTTTCATAATAACATGATCCATCACATTTTGCCAGCCAAGATTCTTTGCTTGCTCCCCAAACGTGGGGTCCACGGGCAAGAGAAAGAAGTACCAGGCCCCCACTGCTGATCTTCCTTGTGTTAGAGCAAATAGTCTCACATTTGAGGCTCCGAACCATCATTGGTGGCAGAGTCCATCGAGATCTTCTATCATCATACAGAGCTGCCCAAACTTTGCCAGGGCAGTGGGCGATGCTGCCTGGCAGAACACATGCCCAAGTTAGTACTGGAGGATTCCTCCCCCACCGTGGATTCTAATTTTAAAAGCAGTTAAAGAAAGAGTCAGGGAAGGGAGATGCTGAGGGAGCTGAGGAGATGGAAAGTACAGCAGTGTTCACTTACCGGTAAATGATGCCCTTGCTCTGTAAGAAGAAGAGACCGATGGCAATTTCTGCAGCGTAAAATCTGAAATTTAAAAAAAAAAAGCGATGGAGAATTCAAGGACACCATAGGCTTGGCAACTCGCAGAATTCAATACAGTATTGAACTAGGCGTAGGGCGTTAATGTCCCACCATGGATGGTCAGCCACACATCTCATAAAACGAAGTATGTGAGTGTGGATGGCCTAATAGGGTTTAGAGAGCTAGGAGGCTGCCTTAAGGACAAATTGGGGGTGGGCAGAGGTTCAGTAATTGCTTAGTGGGAGGAGGCCATGGGGTGATAGACTGGACGGAGAACAATAGTTTCAGAAAACAGCAAGTTAAAATATCTTAATAATAACAGCTACCATCTGTTGAAGGCTTACCATCTACCTGGTACCATTTTAGGTTATTATCTGATTAAATCCTAATAACAATCCTATAAGGTAGGTCTTACTATTACCTCCTTGTTCCTCAAAAGAGGAAACTGAGGTTTGGTGACATGAAATAACTTGGCCAAGGTACATAGCTAATGAATGGCAGCCAGGATTCGAATCAGCATCTGCCTGAACTGTAAGCTCTTAATGAAGGCCCAGAAGGAACGAGGTTTTGAGAGAACCAGAAAGCCCAGTTTATACCACAAGGGTTAGGGAGGGCTCTGGAGTACTATGTTAAGTGCCCACACGTCTTGTGTGATAATGGGATTAAGGCCTGTGGTGAATTAGATGTTAGAAATAAAAGAAGAGACCCAACCTTGTAATCCCATTAGAATTGTGCCAAGATATACGAAAGGCATGATTTGGAAGCACGAGAACGCAAACTTTATCGGAATATAGTGCTCACGGTATTCTTGGCAGGTGGGAGGAGAAGAGGCAAGGCTGATCTGAACAGGAGCCAGCAAGCCTCTGGAATGACAGGATTGGCCCTAGATGAGCCCTGGGGGCTTTCTAGAGGGACAACAGGATCTTAGCACACTCTCTGGGAGAGGTTATTCTTGCTAATCCTATGACTTGCCATGTCCCTGTTCACCAACAGCAGGAGACAAACATGATGAGATTTGTATTCTAAAAAGAAAAGACTGGCAGCCTTGTGGACTGAAGGGGACAGAACTGACTCAACAGGGGAAACACATTTCCAAACACCTGGAATCAGACTCCTCACCCCACACAGCATAGCCTCTATGCAACTCGGTCTTTCATCTCCCTGGAATGAGGGCATCTAAGAGAGAGAGAGTGGTGTAGGACAGAGAACGTGAGCAAAGGAGATTTGGGTCAGAATTCTGGATCTGCCTCACACAGCTCTGTGATCTTAAGCAAGTTTCTAAAAACTCTCTGGGCCTGGCACATAGTAAGCTCTCAATAAATACTGGCAAATGAATAAACAAAATCTATAATGATATTCCCCAAGGAAGCTATAGGGCCTTTTCTTAAGAGTCAGGGGCAGGAATTAGAGATAAAGAAACAGGTGTGGTTTTCGAGCTTCAAGTTCTTAGCTGGTATCAGGAAAGAAAGAAGCACCCCATATCAAGCAGAATGCCCTTTGCCCTTGGCCATACATTTCTCATGAAGAAGCCAAGGATGTTTAAAATCCCTATTCAGCTACAAACTCAAGGGAACTAACAACACACCCGTTTATCCCAAGGGAAAAGCACAGCACAAGGTCCCACTTACACAGCGTGAGGCTCCTTAAACCGGCCAACTTGTTGGATGTGGTACATGAGGTCACCCCCGTTCACGTACTCCATCACAAAGTACAGGCGGTCCTGGAAGAAGACAGCAAAGAGCAAAATCAACATCCTGCAGTTTCTTGGGTTCCAAGTGGAGAGCAGGGAACAGCTGGGATTTATGATCAAAACCACCAGGACGCTTTGATAGGCCCCTAATTCCCAGGCCCATTGCTTCTTCAAGTGTAGTATGCATGCCAGTGAGCATAGGTGGCACAGGAATTTGTTTCTTAATTAATAACTCTAAGTTTATATTCATTTGCATGGGAAAAGGTAATTAGCACATTAATCTTGTGACTTAATGGATATTATTGTTTAGGAGAATGCTAATTTTAATAAAAAGTGGGAACTATTAAGTAAATCATATTACAGGTAACAGGTAGCTGTGGTGGCCAACCTCCATGATGGCCCTCCAGTGATTTTCATCTCCTGGTATTCACGTCCTTGTGCAGTCCCTTCCCTCAAGGAATAGGACTGACCTGTGTAACCAACAGCATATTGTAAAGATAACACTGCATGACTTCCAAGACTATGTCATATAAGACATCACAGCTTCTACTTTGCTCTCTCTTGGATCACTTGCTCTAGGGAAAACCAGCTGCCAAGTCATGGGGACACTCAAACAGTACTACGGAAAGGTATGTTTGGCAAAGAACTGAGCCCTCCTGCCAACACCCAGCACTGACTCCTCAGCCACATGAGTGAGCCACCTTGGAAATGGATCCTCTAGCCCCAGTCAAGCCTTCAGATGATGGCAATCCCAGCTAGCAAGTGGACTGCAGCTTTCATTTGAGACCCCAAAGCCAGAACCACCCGGGTAAGCCACTCCTGAATGCCTGCCCCACAGAAACTGTGAGATAATAAATGCTTATTGTTGTTTTAAGCCCCTGAGTTTTGAGGTACTCAGCAACAGATAACTAACAGAGTGGCTATGGGGAAAAAAATGAATTGTTAAAGTTTGAAAAATAGTAGCTAGGAGGGCCTATCTAGAAGTAAAAGAGTTTGAGCCAAACAAAGAAATCTATACCCCACTCAGGGAATTTTTTTCAACATGTCTTTCAAGGGAGATGTGAAGTCAGGGGCTTGTCCTGCTCAGCTGTGGATGCACCTACTGTGTGCATGACTAGCACACAGTAGGTGCCCAGAGAATGGTGCCAAAGAGACTTTATTTGAAACCCACCTCTGCCTCCTGATAGCTGGGTGTATTTGGAGAAGTTATTAAACATGTGGGACTCCTCATCTGTGAAATGGAGATAATAACTGAACCACAATGTTGTTGCTGGGATTAATGTGACAGAGGTGTGTTACGGTCCTTGGTCAGCACCTACAGGAGATTTGCCTTCTCTCCTTCCATCAAAGGGTGTCGCTAAATGAATGAATGACTTCACCTCTCCTTAGAGACTTCCACTTGGGTCAATGCCACATGATCAACTTAAAGAATAAAAGAAAGAGGATGGAATGGAAATTAGAGTGCCCTGCACAAGGTACCACTAGGTGTTACTCTGTGACATGTGTGTTTTGGTTACATTTATATGTTGGGAGGGCTGGGTCGCAACGTAAAAGGAGGTTTGCTGTCAAAAGTCACAGAGCTTTTGTGCGGGGCTATACAACCAGGAGCAGGGTAGTAGAGAAGCGAAGTGGAGGGTCAAGTTTCCACTTTTGAAATCAATGTAAGATTTGAAGTCTCATTCCACTACTTACTAGCTGTGCAACATTGAACAGTTAACTTAACCTCTCAAATCTTACCCGTAAGGTGGACATTATTCACCTGCCCTGTAGAGAACCAAGATGACGTATGTAAAGTGTCTAACGTGACGTTGGCCGTATAACAAACGTTTAATCCATCCGTTAAAAACTCTTCCTTATAGTGCATAGAACTTTATCTTATATATAACAGCCCTATCTGCATTTATCAAACGTGCATTGTCTAATAATTAGAATCACAGCAATAATGAAATAAACCTGTCATCTTCTGAGCACTTATGATGTGACTGAGCCAAGCGCTTTATATATTTTGTCTCACTTATCTCTCTCAACAACCCAACGTGACCAGTATTACTATTCTCACCCTTTTAAAGTTGTGAAAGTTGAAGATCAGAAAGGGTAAGTAACTTGCCGAAGGCCACTCAGCTGTTAAGTTGCAGAGCCAGGATTTGAACCCGGGCAGTTCCTTCCCACAGTCTACACTTGCAGTCTCTTATTAGGCTGCCTCCCGCATAAGATTATGAGCTAGACATTGTATTGATGTGTGGGTGTGTCCTCCCCTCTGATGGCGTACAGACCAGGGCAGGAGAGAAGGGACATAGAGACCCAGCCACACATCAAGACAGAAGCTGGCAGGTCACAGAGGAGGAGTACAGGTTAGTCAATTTTTTTTGAAATGTTGACTTTCTCAGACCGATACTACTTCACCCTCTCAACATCTCTAATGAGAGGCAGAGAGGGAGGCAGAATTATCACTTCTGTTCTCAGCGTCCAAGCCACATGAGATTTGCAAAAAGGTCACATACAAGTTAGTGGCAGAGTGGAGACACTCAGCCAGAACTGCCGACATCCAGCCCCTGGTTCTTTGGGTTTTTTTTGATAGAAAACAAGCCTAAAAATAGCATCTGTCTTTGCTGCACGTTGAAAAGAACCAAAACACTTGCTTTTAAAAATTATTTTTAAAACTAGCAGATGGCATCGGCCACAGAGAGAGAGTAGTGAGTGAGGGAGAGATTTTACTTGCTTGCTTTCTGCTTGGAAGAACCCAACTCGCCCCCCAAACTCATTAGTCAGAATCCCGACATTGGGGAGAGCTCCATTGTGGGTAATGCCTCATTCTGTGGTCTGTTTCTACCACTAAGCGTATGCGGGGACACCCTGAGACCCATCATCTTTGAAGTGTACTGAGTCTGCATTTGGCACATCAGTGCTTCAGCTATTAAACATTATGGCATCTCACTGTCTTTTCATTTTCCAAACAAATAGTTAATGATGCCCGTTGTATGCGAGGCACCATTCTACTGCCAGAGATGCTGCTGTGAATAATCCACGATGTCCGACGTGAAGGATTCCCCAGATGAGTGAGGGAGACCAGATAAATTTCCAAACAGCAATGTTTCCCAAAAGGGGGTGGGAGATAATTTTAGGTGGGCTATGGATGCATATGTTTTTACCTTTATAGGTTTGTGTCTGTTTTATTGCATATTGTGAAAAATATAACTAGCACTTGAAGCTCCTTATTTTATGGTTATTATTGCTGAAGAGGGAGACTAGAATGCATGGAGTTAAAAAGCAGAAGGGGGCAAGGTAAGATGGGACCAGATTATGATAAACTGCCTAAGGCCCGCAGCCCAAACCTCAAGTATGTCATATTCTGGCTTTGAGATCGTTACCATGTTGGTCTGCCTCATCCACTAACATTTACTTATTTTTAAATATCTTTATTAACTTGCTTTTTTTTAAACTTAAACACAGTTATTTTAAAATTTTAAGACTTCATATATAAATGGAAATTCATTGTCTGTAAAAGATAAACGCATACCTGGAGTCTATCAACTCTATGCTGTATCCTGTCTGGCTTTGGTACCCCAATCCCTTAAATGACTTATTTTTAAAACAAATGTAATTTGTCCATGTCCCACCAGTTCATCGCCTGCTCCAAAGTAAGGAACATCGAAATTTGGAAAACACTGCCAGAGGCAATCTAGAGCCAATCTTGAGCTGAGAAGTGAATTTTAGAACTTTTATTGAGCGTTTGTTTTTGCAAGTCATGTATTAGGTGTCAAAGGGTCAAAAATGATGAATAAGATACGGACCTGGCCTTCAGAGAATTCAGAATCGTCGTCAAAACAAATACACAACTAACTCAAGCCATCATCTAAAACAGAATGTGATAAAAGAAATTGCACGAGAGGCGTCAAGGGTGAGCTCTGAGGACTTGAGCCTTCACCAACTGCCTCCTGTTGGCACATAATTATTCCCCTCCATGTGCCCTGAAATTTGACTTTGTTCCCCACTCTCCCTATAAAGTTATTTCCAGGCCTCCAAAGATCTTCTTAGAGTCACATGCAGTGGTTTTTGACTGCTACTTATCTGCTGGACTCCACGCCGTGAAAATCAAAAACTATGTACTGCGTATCAACTCAAGGCCCAGCTTGGCTCTCTGCTACTTGCTCAGTTTTCCAAGGAGGACATGTCATGGCTCAAAACTTCAGTTCTCATCTCTCTGGGCTGATGAATCTTGACTTATATTTCTATCCTCTCCCTTTCTCCTGAGCTCCAGCTGGCTCCAGCTGGTTGCAGGACGTTTCTATGTGGGTGTTCCACTGTGAACTCCAATTAAAAGCTCAGAGAGGCGAGCTCACCATCCTTCTCTTCAAACTAGCCAGTCTGCTCAACTTTCAAAGTGTTTCTTCCAAATTGTCATTGTTATTGCTGTTATTCTTCATGGCACACTGCCCTTATCCCCTAAGCACGAAGCAACTTCAGTTAATTTTAAATTTCCTTTCTCCTTTATCTCTCATATTTAATCATTAAATAAATAAATTAAATTAAAAGTCTGTCTGCCACCGCAACATGTAAAATGGTTGGATAGAATTTCTCAAATTTGGAGCGTGAGTATGAGGGTAGTCTGATTTAAAACAACGACTGGATGGGATGTGAGGAATTCACCTGGGGGGTCCAGGATAGGGCAGAGAATTCAAAGAGGTAACCATTCTTCCTCCAAGACAGGTGGAAGTGAGATGTGACATGATGCCCATGTGACTGCTAGAGGGACATCTGCCACTTTCAATATGATACCGTGGACAGAGCAAATCAACAACGTAGGCAACTCCAAGAGCACGTCCCAGGCTCTAAGGCAAACTGCAGTAAGCACTTACCTAATTAATGATCTTGAATGATTTCCCAAGCTGATCGGTGAATTAATCCTGTCTGTAAGCTGTTCCCCTTATTGCTCAGATCCATCTGTTTCTCTCGAGAAGCCGTGCAACGCTGTAGTTAAGAGCCTTCACTTTGGCAAGAGCTAGCCGTGGGTTCAAGTTCCACTTATACTG